CTGTAAGCCAGAACTCTGAAGCACTCCGTAGCACATTTTATTTAGTTGTAACAAATACGTGGTTCTTGAGTACTAAAAACTCACATCAGACTCAACCTTCAATGGTTAACATTCCAGTAGAATCTGCAACAGATGACAGCAGGCAAGTTCCAATCTTTGCTCCAATGTATATCAGCAGAACATGTCAAAACCTAAATTAAAAGTTTTCACTTGCTTTTTTTAAAATATAAATCCTTTGGTTGGCAGTCTCCCACTGATGACATGCAACAATCTTTGCATATGAAATCGGCTAGTCCCCTGCTTAGCTGCTAACTTTGTAGAAGTTCCAAAGCATTTCTGGAGCAAGTAATCTATTTGGACTGACAATGCCAAGCTGGGACCTGAGCCCTGAATGAGCTAAAATTACCAAAGCAAGAAGAACGTGGCTTTGGAAGCTATTTCTCCCGAGTGTGGGGTTTCTTCTAGTTGAGGGAGTGATAAAGAATGTTGACTTTTTCCAGATGAACAAAGTTGAATGAAACCTCAAAAATCCTGTTGCAGGTTTCTGTTCTGAAAAACAAGTTGCTGCTTCAGAGGTTCCTGTCCCCTCTACTTCCTTTCCCTAAACATAAAAATGCACTTATCTCTCTAATGTGTAGGAGTTCAATACAGCCCAACCAGTGGGGGCTATGTGCTGGGTTCTGCAATGCCCAGATAAGGAAGTCAGGCCCCTGTCCTGGAGGGGTTCACCGTCTGGCAGGAGGAGAGGTACATGGAGGGCAGCCCAGTCAGAATATGCTATAATCCATCTATCCATATATAACAAACAAAATGGAAAGAGACTTCTGCCCTCACATGAGGTCAGAGGGAGGTATAGGGAATGCCCCAGAGGCAGGGTCTCCTTTCTCATAGTACCTAATAGGCTGGAGCCCACTAGAAGGTGAGCTCCACTAGGCAGAGGTCCCTTATCAGACAATGATCCATCCATTCTGGCTGGCTCAAAGGAGTGCTTGAGGATGTGTTCATCGAGTAGCAAGAAATGCCTCATTTCTAGGGCAAAGGGGAAGGGTAGGTGAGGCTAGAGAATTAAGGTGGGGCTGGTCTATGGGATTCTGAAACTTTAATCAAGGAAAGTTGTCAATTAAGCAACTTGAAAAATGGATTTTGAGACATGGTGATCTATTTGAAGGCTGCTGGTTTAGACGAGTAGGAGCTGAGGCAGAGGCCTGAATGCAGGCAGTGCTAGTGGAACTAGAAGAGAAAAACTTAAGTTACCAACCCACCTAGAACTGCCTCCTTCCCTGTGCATCCTTCCCTATTGCCAGGCTCTTACCCCTATTATTGCATATGTTGGGGTGACCAAACAACAAACCCCATGAAGACAGTGCCCATTTGACTATCCCCCTGCACACAAAACACTACATAGCTGAATTTGAAAATTTCACCCCTGTCCTCCCTGGGTCATGCCATAATTTTCCATCCTAGTGCCTTGGACTCAGTGCCTTGGTGTATCACTTATTAAAGCACTGGGTCGGCCTATAGGAAGTAGTAAGGGAACCCTTGACCACAAGGAGAATTTATTGAACTCAAGCAACAATAATAATATAGGTGTCCAGAGAGAACAATATAGAATGTTAAGACTAAGCCTAGAGGAACCAGTTTTAGCCCCTAAAACCACAAATGTCAATACCATGAACAGGCTGGATTGCAGTTAGACAATGGCCAGCTCTCCAAATGGGTGGTTCTTACTTTCACAACCTGCTTGGCAAAATAAATGAGTGTGATGAGATATCACACAGTTCAAAGGCAGCAGCTCCTGTTCCCAGTAGAGGGAACAGGAGTTCCTTTGAGAGGATTTCCTCAAGCAAATGACAACTGAAGGGTAGGACAAAGAGGTATATGTAGAATGGAGGCTGGTAGCAGAGGAAGAGGAAGAATAGTGGGATTGAAAACTCAGAAACTAAGATTGTCCTCTGGTTTGAAAACTGGCCTTGAGCTATCTATGTAAGCTTCATGGACAGCATTTTCTTTCCTTCTCCTCATTCCAAGCCATGCTATGCGGCTGATGGGAACATTAGCTACTTTACCAAGGAGATTGCCAAACAGAGGCCTGACCCTGGAGGATCTGTGCTCCATTTCTGGCTGCCATTTATTAGCTATGTACCTGGCAAATGTCTGCATCTCAGTGTTCTCATCTATAAAATGGAAATAATAATCATAGCAATATCTACCAAAGGGTCTCCAAGAGGACTAACAGAGATACAAGCACATATAAAGACTGTCAGTAAAGGTGGGACTTTATTTTTCCTTGTACTAGAATTGTAATTTAGTGAGAAGAGAGCCATACACTAGGGTCCAACACAACTGAAGCCATGGCATAAGCCACTGTGGGTGGTAGAGTACAAAGTCCCATAGCAGTTGGCCTTTGACACTTCTTGGGAATAAAAAGAGGTACATTTTAAAACAGTTCTGGATTGGCCTGGGCAAATACTAAGAAAGATACTTCTCACTTGAAAGCCATAAAGTGGCCCTGTTGCTACCTCTGAAACCATTCTATTGGAGCCAGAGAGGGAGTAATTAATAGAAATCTATTTACATAAAGCCACCTCTGCCTTCCCCTTGAAGAATCACCTCCTCATACTTGGTGCCACAGAACAACTGTATTTATGTCCAGGAGATGCCAGATGAGCTCTTTAAGATGAAGTTGCAAGCAATTCTCGGAACCACCAAGTTTATGTCAAGATGGGGTTCTAAGGCACACAGGAGAGTTCTCCCAGGATAAATAAATTGTCAAACTCACCCTGGTCCTTCCAATTAGGACCCAGAGCAGCAGCTTCAATTTAAAAATTAACCACCTGATTGGAATTCCAAATGTGGTCTAGTCAACATCACATTTTTTTCCTTCTCCCAAGAAAAAATTGAGAGGTGGTGAGAAGCACTCTATCTTACTTTGCTCAAATGGGTGCTGCACTTCTCTGTATATATTCTGCTAGTTTCTAGATGTTGCCTAGATTTTTTTTAATAATCCAAAAAATTAATCAACATTTCAGCTTGAAGGATGAATAGTTTACAGGTTCAAAATTTGTTGTTCTCAGATGACAACTATGAGTATCTGACTTAGGAGGACTTTAAAAATCAGATTTTAAATGTTGATTTTAAAATCAGAGATGGTGTTGGCTGCCATGTGCCTAAATGGTCTGTCTGCAGAGCCTGGAGGGCCACGCACAGTGTGAATGAATGAATGGGTGGATGGATGAACAATCTCCAAAGGAGGAAGCCAGTCTTTACACACTAAAGCCCTTGTCGCTTACTTCCTCTGACATACATTCCTTCCACTGTCCTGGGGCCCTCCCAGATCCAGGAGTATGACACAATCATCAAAAAGCATGCTTTCTTTTCTTTTAGCAAAAAAAGAAGCTAAGTTTATAACCTAGTTACAATTTCTTCAGGCCTGTCTTCTTGGGGAATAAATTTCTAATCTTGTTCTTTAGTAATTAATAACAAACAAAACAGCAAAATAAAACCTAATCAGCTACAAAGGGTTCCCTTTTCTAAACCCTACTTCCATTTGCTCAGTATTTCTGGGGGTGTCTGGTGGTAGGAGGGCCTATAGTCCTATGCCCCAGGGCTTACAAGGCAGGTGGAAAGATTACAGCTTGTCAAAAAAAGGCCCAGGAGGTGTTGTTGATCAGCATACAGTTCTTCCACGCCTCCACTCCCTCAAACCTCCTTTGCAGAGGCAACATAAGGTGGTGGACAGGAAACAGTCACGAGGCTGAGCTCTACTACACTACTACACTAACTTGCCACAAGATCCTGGGCAAGTCACTATATGAGGTTCATCTTTTAGGCTAAATGGGAGGAAGCAAAGGAAGCTGGAAAAAATAGAAAAGGTCTACAAATTACAAAACAATGACAATGTCTTCCCTTCTGTTCCTAACCCTTGGTGTTCTCTTCTAAGTGGAAGGTAGGGTGAGTGACTGTGTGTGCCCACTCTAAGTAAGGCACATTCTTCTTAACCAGCAGCAGCTAAAAGGTTGCTTACCCAAAAGGAAGTGATATTTTCCTGTTGCCCACAAGTCTGCATTTAAGCCTCTTAGAACTAGCTTGTAAAGAGGGCCAGCTGTCTTCTCTTTACAAAGGAAAAGGTGCCTCTCAGCACAGCACATGAGGTGGAAGGGCTGGTCTTGTCCTATAACCAACTGAACTTCAGTGTCATCCTCTGTCAAATGAGGATGAGACCACCTGCTTTGCCTAAGTCTCAGGCCCTGAGTAAGCAGGGAGGGGAGGTCCTGTGGTAACCTGACCTAGAAGCTCTTTCCTGGCTTCTAACTCTCACTCAGAGAGCCTGTGAGTGATTTCAGAGATGGATGTGGAAGCTGAGGAATGCCTTAGAGCTTCTTCCTCCTTACCTTTGCTACCTCGCTGGAGAAAGGCAGGAGAGTGGTGCCTAGTGCACTGAGGTTCAAGGCTTCCTTATCCAGTCTAATGATGGCCCAGATGGGACAAGGATGCCACAGATTCCTTTGGGAAGGAGAGATTCCCACTTAAAGATCAAACAATATGTGTCTTACTCCTCACTCCTAGGAGATGCTAAGGGCCTTAAAGGGAGAGAGACCACTTGAGAAACTTGAGACAGAAAGGAGCACAGAGGGAAGGAACAGAGAGAGGTAGAGAGAAGGTGAGAGAGCAGTGACAGTACACACCGGCAGGGAAAGAAATGGAAAGTGAAGGAGCAGGGAGGATACAAAGAATCAGAAAGAGGACAGACAGATAAAGAGATGAAGGCAGACTGACAGAGCGGGAGTGTCAGGGAAGCAGGAAGACAAAGGGGACCCTGTGGTCTTTTTAACTGGTCTGGTCCCTTACAGACACTCCATCCCTTAAAGAGAAGCCGGATAGGCGGGAGGAGGAGACCTGAGCAAGCACTGACTCCCCAGGCCCCCTCTGCCCAGCGCCCGGCCTCTTCCCGTCCCGGCCCCCGCCCGGGTCCCACGGTCCCTCCCAGCCCGCTCGCTCACCTGCCAGCGCCAGGATCTGGGCCTTGTGGAGCAACAGCGCGCCCCAGTCGCGGGGGGCGCGCGGGGGGCTCTCGGGCCCGGCGCCCAGCTCCTCGGGACCCCGGTACACCGCGTACACCTTCTGGTTGTCAAAATCCAGCCGGGAGCGGGGGCTGAAGTCGCGCACGCACGACACCGGCAGCGCGTAGCAGACGTTGTCCTCCAGGAACCGCACAAAGGCGTACATGGTGGGCGCCGGGGGCGGGCCCCGGTCTGGCTGGTCAGCCCGCTGGGCGGGCGCAGAGGTGGGGTCGCGGCGGGGGGCGCGGGCCGCGCTGCCGGGCCGGGGGGCGGGGGCAGCTCCCCGGGACCGGGCTCCCCCCACTGTTATTGTTCCTGAAAGCACCGCTCTGCCAATCGGCTGCTTTCGCCTGGGCGCGGAAAAGGGAGGGAGGGGGGAGAGGGGGGCGAGGGGCGGATAAGGGGGGTTTGGAAGCGCACCGCCGCTCGCAAAGTCAGACCCGAGCAATCACAGCCGGAGCGCGATTCGGGTAGGGAGGGGAAAGAGCGGAGAGATGCAATTGCAATAATAATAACAACAACAACAACAATAGCATAGGGTGCGGTGGAAAGCATTGACTAAAATTCGCGCGCTGGGCTACAATTATATAGCCTCAAGGATCTCGGTGCAAAACAAATTGCATTGCAACAAAACTGCCTTACAAAGGAGAGTGTGTGAGAAATGAATGCAGCGAGAGTGCGTGGGGGCAATCCTAAAGTGTAAACTTGCACTTCTTGCAAGCGAGCAGAAGTTTGGAGTGTTTCAAATTTAGCCATCCTCTTCAGCTTCTTTAGTCCACAACCCCACACCTCCCCCCTTCCCTCTTCCTTTTCTTTCCTTTTTCTTTTTCGTCTTCTTTTTTATTTTATTTATTTATTTATTTATTTTATTTTTTTGGCAAAACTGCCAGCACCTGCTGTGGGGAGGGTCAGTCATCCAGAAACATACCCCCAAAGCTGCCAAACCAGTTTTGGCCAGAACTGAAACTTATCTGGGCTTTCCAGTTGGACCAGCTGGCTGGGGTGGTGGAGGGCTTGTGAATGGCTGCTCTCATACTAAGGGAGCAGTGGCACCCCTCTTCCCTAAGGTTTTTTGCAACAGAGATACTCCTCCACAGCATGCCTGCCCCTGAACCAGGACCAGGTGGGCTGAAGCAGGGAGTAGAAGGCTCTGGGGACTGTGGTAGAGGCTAGACATTGCTGGATCACTTTCAGGAGATCAGGAATATTACTCCACTACTCCATGGAATAGCAGTCTTTGCTCTATCCCTAATTTAACAGTGGGAAGACAGGAACTTGGTCTCCCCCCCACCCCCCACAAGACTTATGTGTCAGTGGAAGGAAACTAAGGGGCTCTGCACTTGTAGTCTCAGTGGGCTTTGTATCAAATATTGCTACTTAGATCCACATTGCCTAGCTCAGAGGGTCTCAATGAACCTTGGGTGAAAAAGAATAAGTTAAAAATCCACATTAACCCATCTCGGGGATTGAACCTAGGGACAATCCACCACTGAGCTACATTCCCAGTCCTTTTATTTTTATTTTTTTATTTTGAGGCAGGTCACACTAAGTTGCCTAGCTCATTCATTCTTTTATTCAAGCAATCAATATTCATTCGGTATGCACTACATGTCAGATTCTGGGATATAGAGATGAAAAGAAAGGACAAACACCAGGATTCCTGGACCTTGTAATGTTAGTGTATCAGAACTTGAGTCTCAGTCAGATTCCTTTGCCAAAATTAGGTTACTGTATGAATAACACACCTTCCCCCTCCTTGCAACCTTTACAATCTAGTCTGGGAGTATTAAGAAAACATAACTAGTAATGAGATTATAGTCAGAAAAGTATTCTTATAGAAGAATGCTTAATGGAGGTAGCAGACTCAAATATTATATTAAAAATCATTTTAATGAAGTTAACCTGTAACAAAAGATAAAGTGCACCAAAATGCTAGTGATTCTGTGAGTTTCTAGTATTGGTGGGTGATTTTGTTTTCCATTGTACTCTTGTATTTATTTTCTTACAGTGTGTATACTTATATTCATGTCTATTTTTTCACACAGTATTACTTTATAATAAAAAAAATTAACATTATAAAATTAAAGGACTGTGCTCACATTTCAGATCAGCTACACTAATGATGAAGAAGATAAGTCAAACCTCCCAAATTATTTCACTGTGATCTGGGGAGTATTTTATGCTATACCAACACATAGCTCTCAGATCCAAATAAATCAGATCAAATTCCCTCAAACCAACCCACTGGTATATATGCAGTGCCAACCAGACATGAAGTTGTTCTGATGCAGATATGGATCATTTTGCCCCACACACTTGTAGAAAAGAAAGTCACCACTCATGAGTTGTTCCAACCTATTTACCTTCCTGATTATTATTTATTTTGGCTGATATTGAGTTTTTATTTTAAGAATTCATTTCTATGGTGGTCAAGTGGATGTAATGTGTAGTAAGATTTCTGATAATTCACAAGACAGATCAGGCAGAATCAACAAGTGTTTATTAAAAAGTCCACGAAGTTCTAGATAGTGTTTGCAGAATGATTTCAGGTACACCAAGGCCAGTCTCCTCCCTGCAGCTAAATGAGGGTCAATCCCAAAACATGTTACCAGTATCGCCTCTCATCACCTTTCTGGACATAGTACATTCCAGAGTATACTATAAACTATTTGACATTTCCCAAGACAGCATGTTTAAGCAGGTCCCTAACCCTTGTGCTTGCTCTGTCCTCATTCTGTTGAAGTTTTTCCTCACAGAGTGTATAGGTGACCTCAACTTACTGTGAAGACCAGTTCAAATCTCATCTCTTTTGTGAAGCTTTTCCTAACCATTCCATACTCAAATAGTTTTCTTTCTTTCTTCCTTTCTTCTTCCCTGCTCCTTTCTTTTTTCCCTCCAGATTTTTCTTTCACTGGTAGGTTAAAATTAGTTGTCTTAATAGGATCTGTCGTTAACATATTTGTACATGTTATATACATGTATATAACAATATAATTGGGTCAGTTTTCTTCCCAGTACCTCACCTTTCCTTCTCCTCCTCCCTCCCCTTGGTCTCCTTCATTTTTGCTGGTCTCCCTTCTTTTATTTCCATTTTTTCTCTTTAACTTCTGTGTCTGAGAGAAAACATACAACTCTTGACTTTCTCAGTTCAGCTTATTTTGTTTAATATAATGTTCTCTAGTTCTATCCATTTTCCTGAAAATAACATAATTTCATTCTTCTTTATGGCTGAGTAAAACTCCATTGTGTATATATACCTCATTTTCTTTATCCATCCATTCATCAACAAACACCTAGGCTGGTTCCATAGTCTGGCTATTGTAAATTGTGCTGCTACAAACATGGGAATACATGTATTACTATAGTATGATGACTTTTAATTCTTTAGGATAAATACCAGGGAGTGGTATGGTGGTTCCATGCCTAGCTTTTTGAGGAATCTCCATATGATTTCCATAGTGGTTGTACTAATTTACAGTCCCACCAACAGTGTAAATCCATATCTTCTCTAGCATTTATTATTGTTGATATTCTTTTTTAAATACCTTTATTTCATTTACTAATTTTTTTATGTGGTGCTGCAGATTGAGCCCAGTGCCTCACACGTGCAAGGCAAGTGCTCTACCACTGAGTCACAATCCCAGCCCTTATTGTTGATTTTCTTTTTTTAAAAGTATTTTTTAGTCATAGATGGATGCAATGTCTTTTATTTATTTTTATATGGTGCTGAGAATCGAACCCAGTGCCTCACTCTTGCAAGACAAGTGCTTCACTACTGAGCTACAGCCCCCAGCCCGGGTATTCTTGATGACTGCAATTCTAATTGGAGTGATATAAAATCTCAGGGTGATTTTTATTTGCATTTCCCTAGTTGTTAAAGATATTTAGCATTTTTCATATATTTATTAACTTTATATTTATTCTTTTGAGAAGTGTCTGTTTAGTTCATTTACCCATTTATTAGCTGTGTTTTTCTTATGTTTGAAGATAAGTGTTTTGAATTTCTATATATTATGGATATTGACCCTATGTTGAAAGAATAGGTAGCAAGGATTTTCTCCCATTCTGTAGGTTCTCCCTTTATGCTCTTGTTTCCTTTACTGTGCAGAAGCTTTTTAATTTGATGCCATTCATTTATTAACTCCTAGTATTATTTCCTGATAATTAGGAGTCCAATTGAGGGAGTTATCACCTACATCTATATGTTGTAGTGTTTACACCACATTTTCTTCTAGCAGTTGCATAATTTCTGTACTAATTCCTAGGTCTTTGATCCACTTTGAGTTGCCTTTTATACAGGGTGAAAGGCAGGGATCTAGTTTCATTCTTCTCTATATGGATAACCAGATTTCAGGCAGACCTCTTTGTACTATTTTATTTCAGAACCTTTTATACCCACTCTATTATGAGAGCTCTTTAAGGCAGATTCTAGTAACTTTAGCATTTCAGGTACCTAGCCTAGGGCTGGGGAGCAAATGCTTATAGAATAAATGTATTAAAAGGAGACACAGAGAAAGCATGAATAACAGACCACTTCCAGGGTTGTTCTTAAAAGCCTACTCCTCCTTTTCAAAGTTGGAGCTGAATCCCAACTCTGTCTTTCCCATCCCCAGTGACCCAAGGGCCAAACATTGCTTCCACTCCTGACCAAAATATTCATGAACATATTAAATATCACTGTACCCTTAGGTTCAAAAAAATTCCTCTTGCCCAAGTCAACATAAATCATTATCATAAGGGAGTAGTTCCATTTCCCAAGAACCTCAAAAGAAGAAAAGAACAGACAATGAAAATGGATGCCAACAGAGTCAAATACACACAGACTCCAGTGCATTTTGCATGTAGGTTTACAGAATGGATTATGGAGAAGCAATGGCAGGCACAGGATGCTCAGAGACACTACCCATGGACAACAAAGACACCCAGTTTCTGCTTCCTGAATGACTCACACATTCAATCTACTGACACAGGTCACATGGAGAATCCACCCTGTGCTATACTGTGCCTCTCCCCGCCCCCACCGGGTGAAAACTGAGTCACAGTACCTCTGCTTGGGGCTTTATCCATCCCAGAAACTCAAGATGTTGGTGATTCATCCATTGGCAAGCAAAGATAGTTCAAAACTACAAATTCCTGACTTAAAGAGGCCATTTAAATCATCAACTTCAACCAAATCATGGTTGAATCCTCTCTTCAACATTCTTGCCAAATGGTCATTCAAATGCCTTTGATGCAGTTCTGATGTCAGGAAGTTTACTGCCAT